TAACGTTTGAAATTTTTTCCGAAATTAATGGTGTGTGATAATTTTATAAATTTTATAAATGGTTATAAATTAAATTTATAATTAATTTTTTAACAATGATTATTTTAATAAATATTTTTTAATTATAAATTTTTAATTTTTAAATAAATTATATTTTTTATTTTACCAATTTAATATTATTTAAATGTTTTTTATTAAAAAATAATTTCGAATTTTATTTAAATATAATTATTTAAATTTTTTTTTAATAAAAAATACATTATTTAATATACGTTTAAAACGTATAAATTCGTTTATTTCGTTATTATTTAATAAAATATAATAATTTTTTAAAAATAAAATTATTTTTTATTTTTATTAATATAAATAAAACCGGTAAATTTAAAAAATTTATTTTAATAATATATAATTATTATATATAATAAATTTTTTTTTATTTTAATATATAATAATAATAATAATAAAAATAAAAACCATTTTCGTATAATATTTTATTTAATAATTATAAAAATTTTTATAAAAAATTAAATTTTTTCATATAATTTTCGTGATATTGATTAAAAAAAACCATATTTACATACGGTTTAAAACATGTTAAATATAACAAATAGTTCATGCCTTAAAATCAAATCTTTTTTAATGGATGCGGTAATAAAAGAAAGAAAGCTTTGCTGGTTGTTAACTACTTAAACTTAGTACCATTTTCCTACCTCGCACGGGAAAATTCTAACGTATAAGCTCAAAACGTACCTAGGTACTTAGGTACCTACTTACCTAAGTTAGGTACTTAGGTACTACTATTTTGAGCCCCTCGCATCACCACACGTCCCGTCGCTCAGGCAGCAACCAAGCCCCACCCCACCTACGGAAAGGTTATAAGGTCCAAAAGCAAACATTTCTTTCACCCGGGGTCTTGGGACGCCAAGGCCTCGTAGCTCAACGGTGTCATCATGAGCTCCTGAATGCCGATAGGCGCACTATTCTTGCTTGGACCTCCCCGCCCGCCCGGCTTGCCGGCCTCGGATCCCGGATGCTGAAATACTGCTATATGCGGTACGTAAGTATGGTCCAGAGTAGTGACAAACACGCCGAAAGCCAGGAAACAAGTTTTTTTTTCTACTTTTTTCCCTCCTCCCTTTCCAGTAGTAGAGCCTTTTCTCCTCGCCTCGATCCGGATTCGAATCCCAGTGAGGCAACCCTTTTTTAACCTTTCTTTTTGTCAAAGCATGGAAGCCAGGAAACTTAAAAAATATTATTTATTGACTGCGTCTCCCCTCAATTTACCTATCTCTGTATCCTACGTGTACGTCTTGTGAGTAAACCAAATTAAAAGTATATTATCCCTATCTCATATATGCTAGTCTCCGGCGGCGCCGCAATTCAGGGGCTGGCTGGTATTAGGTAGCATTTAACCTAGCCTGGAAGGAGTTATTGTATCATTGAGTATTACCTACCTACTTACCTACGTGGGAAAAGGCTGAGCGCGGTATACATAAATGATGAGGCTTGAATAACTCATCTGCGGGCTGCACATTATCAAGACCGCGCGCTCGTCGCAAATACCTGATCTCTTGGGGGATTCGCCGTGTTCAGATACAACGCCAATCCATGATGCTGCCTAAGAACGCTCTAGCACTCGGACGCCGGTACATTTCTACGTCGCTGTTCTTTGGATTCTGGATGGTATTACTCTGGGAGAGGCCTAACTAAAACTTGGGGGGGGGGGGGGGGGGGGGGGGGGGGGGGGGTTTCTCAATGAGCGAGTTGCGGACTGGACCGCCCAAAACCAACGAATACACGCATTTACGCAACTAAAATCGACAAGGACGATGGTTTCGGTCCGAGTGGCAAGGTGGCCGAAATAAGCATATAAACTACGACAGCGTCGAGCAAACTCGCAGAGACTGGTTCTGGGTAAGTTCTGTAAAGAAACTTATACAAAGCACGCTTTTAAGTAGGAAGACGTTCTTTGTGCTGTAGGTTATATACCTACACGACCCTTCAACTAGGCGCCCAAATACATACCTAGACAATAGGTCGGGAAGTGCAGCGTGCTAGTCTAAAATTTCTGTTTCAGCCATAACGCGTTAAATGCCGTGAGGTTTCTTCGCGCTCGTAACTTTCGTTATGTATTGTCTGTGGGCGGCGTTGCTGACTTGATATAGGCTTTATGGAGAACTCTTCATCTCGGCAGGTTTCGCAGGACTATCGGGGCAAGTTACGGGATTGAGATTCCGCGATGAGACCAGAATCACTGCATAAATAATTGTGCTATCCCGAGGTGCGGCAAAACCGAGCACGTCAGCGCTAGAAGTCTTGCCACCTCAGGCGGTCCTCCAAATACCTAATACTCCCCTTTCCAGCTTTTACTTGCTTCGGATCGTGCTTTTGGTGATAGTACAACCAGGCAAGATAAAAGGAACGCCCCTATTATGGGGGGTATAAAAATAAAATAAAAATCGCCACAACTGACGTCACGGTTTATTAGTATGAGTGTCGAGATGATACGAGGGCGGCCTACGGTCTCTGCCAACATTTATTATGTTGCCATTTACCTAGAGTCCGCATGTGTTGGGAAGGGTTTTGTCAACTTCTAAACAGCCTCCCCTTAACCGGTGCACCTCAAATCCCGCAGCTCGGCACGACGGTCAAATAATCAACCCCGTTAAGAGTCCATAGCCCTCGTAAACATGGTACGTCGTAACCCGGTGGGAACTTTATATTTCCTAAGTGACCGCCATCAGGCTACAATAGTCGGGAACGACAAAGGGGGCAGCAGGATACGGCACTCCCGGAACTCTAGACGACCCCGTGACGTTACGCTGGTGATAATATTAGATGTCTCTCTACGCACGAGCCATGGCCACAAGTCGTCCTCGGCATGGTAACACCAGGGGAATGAACCATCCGACGTGTAGTATCGTATCCTCGACTTCGTCGAAAAATATCTACCGAACAAGCAACACTGCTCGGAATGTTTGATCCTACTCCATGGCCGCCTGAAGAGTTTTCCTGTTTCAATTCTCTCTGAAGGTTTCCTGACGCCCCGTCCAGCATCCTCAAGGTGGTAGAACACAGCAACGCATAACGTAATACGACCCAAGTTGTCATCCTTCGACCGTCTATTGAGCCCAATATCACCGCCAATATTCAGCCACGTAGTAACTTTGTGCTACTCTCGATCATGCTATCATCTTGCAGATTGGTGAGTTGGTAACGATACAATCGGCCCACTTTGTTCAGGCAAAGTGAGAAATACGTTTATATGGCACGGACCACCACAAGCAATATTGTACGCGGGTTCACGTCCCTTCTGTTTCTATTTGAAAATAGCTTACCGCCTTTGCGATCCTAGACTATTAGAATCTACCTATGCATCATTAGTTTCGTAATGCGCAGCCATTCATACCCCTTGCTATAGCATTGCTTTATGGTAGTCTCTTGTGTGAATTGACGATTTTACGGCTGGTATAGCCAAGCGTTGTCCGTGTTGAAGAAGCTTGAGTCGTGTTGAGAGATGTAACGTACCAGCATCTGCTTATACTAATCCTTCTATCCAAGGTATAGATCAGGATACGGGACTAAAAATACAATGAGGCATACGACTAGTACGAGGAGGCTGCTTATGACTGCCGATCTGCGGCTGAGGTGACCGACGCCTCGTCGTGTTGTGCTTGCGACGTATACTCGACCAATGAGATGGAGACAGGAGTCTCGAAGAGGTAACTTGGCGGTGACGATCCCCTAACTGCGCCTCAACGAGATCTCTTGCCAGCACGTCTTCTACGGAGCTCTAAACGACGTCCCTAGTCGAAACATCATGAAGTTGTAGAAGTTGATGAAGATAAATAGAAGTTTGTTGGCCGTCGAAATGTCGTTCTTATCATCATCACCAACATCATCAATAACAACAACACTCACACAACAACCATCTACTCTACACAACCAACAAACCAATCTCTCTTCGAGTCTTAACAACTTTTCACTCCAACCATCAAAATGAAGACCTTCACCATCGCCACTGTCGCTGCCGCCCTTGCCTCTTCGGCATCGGCTCTCCCCAAGCAGCCCCCTGTCGCCAGGGTTAACCTGATGGCCCTCAACCACCCGGTCAGCGGCAAGCACTCGCAGCAGCTTGTGCCCATCGACCTCGCCACCCTGACGCACAAGGACAACCTGCCGATCACGGGCTTCGCCATCGACAGCATCTCGGTCACCGTGCCCCCGGCACCGGGCCAGCAGGCCATCACCAAGGACGACATCACCTGCCAGCGGTTCCAGGACCAGTGGGGCACCCAGCGCGGCAGCGCCGCCTTCACCAGCTCGAAGAACGCCTCCGTCAGCACCAACTCGGTCGACTTCGGCTACGTCCTCTGCTACGTCAACCCCACCGCCTAAATTTAGGTGGACTTGGGGAATTATGGTGGATGGTTTGGGTTATTTATTGGGTCATTATATTATCGTCATGGCATTTGCATCTGCATTTGGTTTTTAGCGAAGCACGTTCCTTACATATACATCTTGCATATAGATAAAGAGTTGATTTCGGAGGCTCGGGCCTTTGCATAATCTATAACTATATATATACATATTCATATTCGGTCCTCCATATACTTGTTCCTCTATCTGGTTTCCTGTGACGTGATATTAGCACCTAAACCGAGTAGTTTCTCATAATCACACTGATCTTTCTGTCATCATTATGTAACTCCCCTTGTAAAGCTAGCTATCGGTCTTCTAACAGAAATCCTAGTACCTATGAAGGTCTCATTGGGATTCGGTAAACCCCGGCGCTAGTTCCTTTTCGCGATAGTTAGACGTCTTTTCTAAGTTCTTCTTCGCAAGGATGTCTTGATAAAATCGGCAGAACTGCGGCATGGAAATTCTGCCAACTCGACTCCTCTGATTGGACATGCCCCCCTCAAAGTGATCCGCCGTGTGCCCCTCCACACACACACACAATGGAATATTATACTTATTAAATCGACGGACTTCACCAAGTCTTGGTGGCTCAGTTGGCTAGAGCGTTGGTCTCATACTATAGTGTGATTCAACCACAGGTTGGGCTATCCAAAGGTCGTGAGTTCGAGCCTCACCCAGGACATGACATATGGCATCTTCGGGTGCCTCTAATTTTTTTTTTCTTTTTTTCTCTCTTGCCCTCGATATCTCCTTTGGTCTACTCACAAACATCAAACACGTTTTGCCTGTAAAAATTGACTGCGAATGATGTAAATTGCTGTAGTATCATGTGCAGATCAACATCAGTTTTGACATCGTAAAGGGCGTGGTGGCATGACTTTGGAGCGGCACAGGGGCATTGCAAATGGGCAGTGATTGGTCAATGGCATGGCGTTTGCTTACATTACGTTTCTCTTCTTTTTTTCCCTTTTGTATAGATACGGCGGGTAGATGCCTGGGTAGATACCTCGCATTCCGACGAGTGTACTTGGATAATTTGGTTACACGATGGGCGACAACAGTGTCAAACCTACCAGTATTAATGGTAACAGTCCAGAAGATCCCGCTCCTATGAATGGACAGACTTTAGAATCGCTCAATGCCCTAGAACCTCCAAAGGTCCGCACGAAACTGCGTACATACACCCTCTTAGTCGCACTCTACGTATAACCCCCCCTATTCCCATACAAGAGTATCTAACGAATTATTAACGTCACTCTAGCTCACCCTTTTTGTTGCTGCGTTAGACCAAACTATCGTAGCAACATCTATCCCCTCCATCTCTGCCGCGTTGCACTCCGCTTCCGGCTACGTCTGGATCGGCGGCGCGTACGTATTAGCCAACGTCGCCGCGGGCCCCATCTGGGCGAAATGCAGCGACATATGGGGCCGCAAGCCCGCTCTCCTCGGCGCCGTCGGCGTCTTCACAATCGCTAGTGTCATCGCGGCCCTGAGCACCAACATGGAGATGCTCATCGCCGCCCGCGCGCTCCAGGGCGCAGCCGGCGGGGGTTTGCTCCAGCTGGTAACCATCACCATCTCGGACATCTTCGACATGCGAAGACGGGCCTTGTACCTGGGCTTCCTGGGCGTCATGTGGGCGCTCGCCGGGTGCGCCGGCCCGCTGATCGGAGGCGCGTTCACCCAGCTCGTCAGCTGGCGGTGGTGCTTCTGGATTAACCTGCCGGTGTGCGGCGCCTCGTTCTTGCTTTTGCTGCTTTTTCTGGACGTTCATGATCCCCATACCAAGCTGCGCGAGGGTCTTGCGGCGATCGACTGGTTTGGCACTTTTTCCATTTTGGGAGTGACTCTCCTGCTGCTTCTCGGATTGGACTTCGGTGGTGCGATATTCCCCTGGGACAGTCCCAAGGTTATTTGCTTGATCGTATTTGGGGTCGTGATGATCGGCCTCTTCATCTTCAGCGAGCAGCGCCTAGCTCGGTACCCCCTGATTCCGCTGGGCATGTTCAAAGACTGGTCTAACATGGCGACTTTTCTCCTCGCTTTTGCGCATAGCATGGTCTCTATCGGCGCGGAATACTATCTACCGCTATATTTCCAAAGCGCGAAGCAAGCATCGCCCGTGCATAGCGGTCTGCTAATCCTCCCGATGATGATAACGGAATCGGCCGTGGATGTACTGGTCGGAGTCGTGATCCATCGCACAGGCCGTTACCGGGAAATTATCTGGGCCGGCGCGACGCTTATGACGTTAGGGACGGGGCTGTATATCAATTTCCGGTCGGATACTTCTCTCGGGGAGATCATCGGGTTTCAGATTATCAACGGCGTTGGCACCGCGCTTCTTTTTCAAGCGCCTATGATCGCGATCCAGAATACCGTCAGTCAAGCCGATACTGCGTCAGCCACGTCGGCTTTAGGCTTCATCCGCAACCTCGCTACATCACTTTCCATCGTGGTTGGCGGTGTCGTATTCCAGAACAGCATGGACAGCCGCCAATCATCCCTTGCAGCAACTGGTCTCAGCAGTTCTGCTCTTGAAGCTTTGTCCGGCGACCAGGCAGCAGCCAACGTGGAAATCGTCCAGTCTATCCAGGACCCAGCTCAGCGTCAAGCAGTGCTAGATGCTTTTTCATGGAGCATAAGGAATATGTTCATATTGTACACCGCTGTGTCTGCTCTTACGGTGGTGGCGGGCGTCTTCATCAAACACCGACAGCTGAGAACGGAGCATACGGAGACGAAGACGGGTATTCAGGAGTTGACGCAGCGGAAGACTTAAAAGCTGAGATACAACTTATTAAGGTCTAATCTAGTCGTCATATGTACCTTTGACTTAAGCATTCGTTAGAATTAGCGTCCTGCTGTAGTCTGCTAGCCTTGTCATGTCGGTTTTTGAGGACTCACGTTCAGCGTAGTTAGCCTGGCTGCCCACGTTACGCCGGTATTAGCTTGTACAATTTTCTTCGGTTGGTCCCATTGCAGCGCCTTCTACACAAATAGGCTAAATATCTGACGTATCGGCGTGTTTCGATGGCTAGGGTTACACACATCGGGGTTGACTTTATCTTCGTGGAATAAGACTGGCGTCGAATAGTCTCAGCTTTTCCCAGACTGTTTCATAGCTAACGATTTATATCCATGAACTAGAAGATGTACGTAGTCATGACCTCTGTGAGCCTTCTCGTGTTATTAGCTCTTAGTTACTTCCTTCATCCTTTCGACCATTTTACATACTACTAGAGAGAAGCCCGAGCTTCATCTGAGCGACAGGTTAACGTAGAATCGCTAGAAGGACGGCACACGAAGATGAATTTATATTTACATGAGTACTACCGTAAATCGATATTCTTCAATCTTACTACCCAATGGTCACCATAGTTCGCGTTTATCATTCTATATTCTCCGCAATCACTTCATGCAATTTTGCTGAGGAAGCAGCTCTCAAAATGGTGATATTCAGTCGAGACTTTCGATAGTACTGTTCCTGGGCCACCAAAAAACCAACAATTCAGAACCGCTCTGCAAATACAAGATCATTCTCGCCTGACTAGCTCTACTCCCTTCGCTTAACCAAACCGAAGCAAGACGACGAGAATCGCCACCGAGTCGTCGAACTTCTGCTGGATTGATGGAATTTATCGACTACCGGAATGTGTCATTAAATATTTGCGTGTCATGGTAGAGGTTTCGAACACTTCCAATAAGTCTGAACATATCTGGGCGCCTCATCTGGAAATTGGATACAATAAAACGAGGGTCCGACACATGCGATCTCCAAGCTATATCGCCTTCGGTAACACATCAGTCAGTAATAATAATAAATCATAGTCGATAAGATTCAAAAGATCCAGCCCGCCGAGCAAGTCTGTTTGTGTTTTGCTTACCTGGCGAACCCTTAGTCCCCATGTCCTGCCATGTGCATACCACAACGAGCTCCTTGGAAAACTTGATCGCAATGTCGGTAGCGCAGCAAGGACAGCCAGCGGAGAATGTGTCCATGAAGTTGCTTGAAAGAGTATACCTGGCAAGCATTACGTGAGTTGCCTGGTTAATCGGCGACCTATTCAAGTCGTAAGAAATGGACGTGTGCGGACATAGTTTGATATCTCCCATCGTTATCAACGAGACTTCCATGGAAGCTTTTCGATATTGCCAACAAGACCTCAACAAGTACCTGAGATTGCCATCGGGACCCTTCGTAATTTTAGGAGTAGCGGTGTATGAGACGTCTAGCAAGTTGTCGCGTTTGGATGGGAAGGAAAAGGTAGGGAAGTTGACGTCCTGATGTTCCGTTAGGAGTTTCTCGTGATAGCCTTGGTACCTAGAATCTCGCAGACGTGTGTACTTGAGCGCGAGCTGGATGTGACGATGGTCGACTAGGAGGAAGCGATTGTCAAGTCGAGATTGCCGGCCGTATACCTCCTTACACCACTGATCCCAAGGTAAGGGACATGACATTTTCCACGGGGTTATAGGCGTATCATCTAGAGAAACAGGGTGAAGCTTGAAACAGGCTTCGCATACCCACTGGTCTGGTAGGTCGCGAGCGACCCTTATAAGAAATCTAAGGTACTGCCCAGTAGAGAGTTTGCGTACATCTGGTTTACCCAAGGCGAGACGTAGCGCGCGACATACCATCGCAAATACCGCTTGATCGACCTGCGGGAGGTAGCTCGATATGTTCACAATTATTTCGATGGGCAATTTAAGGAGGTGACTCTTAGTATTTGGTCGCTCCATCTTTCTGCCTTTTTCTTTTTAGCTACCTTTGTCCTAAGTATGGTGTTAAGCCGAATGTTGTCTGTGAATCTAAGAAACTTCAGGTCATGGTAAAACGTAGTTCTTCAAGCACAAGAGGATATAGTCCGTGTCGCGGTTATTAAAGTCCAAGTTGAAGGCCTTGTAGCTAAAGCTTTAGACTTCCCTTGTATCATACTTCGTAGTTGCCTTCATCGCACATTCTATCTACTGTTCATTGATGCTTACAGGCACTGGCTCATAGCACTTGCTTGACACACTCTATCATGCGGGCTGGCCGTTGCGCCTCACCCGTCAGGTATGGTAATAAGGCTACTGTCATGGTCATCAACTTAAAGATGAATGAGCGGCGTTTGCTGCGCTGTTTGACTAGGGGCTGTAGATATCTCGTCTAAAATTAAGAGGCGTTGTTATTCAAGTCAGTATTTAATTTTCATCTAGTCAACCGGATCTCTGTAATTGGCTTTGGCAAAGTGAGTTAAAGGTATACCAGCAAATTTAATGTTCCAATGGCCGGAATAAATATGTGAAAAATAAATTACCCGTAATGTGGGAATGGTGTCATTTAACCATGTGTGGCGGTGATATTAATAAATTACTAGGGGGCTTCTTGGGCTGTGGATGCATCTTCTAGAATTGGATTCCTTGGGCAAGCAATATTTGAGGGTCAATGCGATCGTCGTTCCTTGATATTGCGATGTACTAGTTGGACAGGACACTGATAAAGAGGCAGCCCGTGAGCGGCCCCGCTAATTTGCTGTGATATATTTACTGGCGTGTAGTATAGGTCGATATTTCGATAAAACTAGAAATATTAAATCTGATGTGACCTTGGCCTTGATTGATTTCAGAATCCTGACAGGTTTTCGGCGCCCTGCTTATTTTTAGTGCAGCGGGCCGCTTCGTATTGAGAAAAAGAAG